CAGCATTTATCAACTTTGTATTTATTTTTCCACAGCACTAAGTTCGCAATGATGAGGCACTTCGGGCCTAAAATATAAAATTTATTTATTTACTGTACGTCGGGGACAAGAAAAGTTCCAATGGGAGCTGTGTTGTGCCGCCGAACTTTGGCCTTCTGACAAGCCAAACATGAACGGGTCCACTAGCGGATATCAGTGTTTATGCTTGGCCAGACAAAGCGTTCGCTGAAGAGGCGGTGGATGGTGTGGATGCCAGAGTGAGCAAGGTTGTGCAACGTGCCAAAAAGTCTCGTCTCATCTCGCTTGGCACTACAGGTCAGGAGGCACCGCGCGTTACGTGACATAAGATTGTACCGGGGGTAGTGGAAAGAGGAATAGCCTCGATCTGAAGACCAGTGTTCAAGGCTTTCAGTGAAAGTCGGTTGGTTTTGCAGTTCTGTCATTCGCTCCGATTCGATGGAAGTGCGGAGGAAGACATTAATTCCAACCCGAACAAGACACTCAACAACTTTAGCATAAAGACCTTTGAGAAATCTAAAAGTGGTGGTATACTGAGAAAGGAAATCGAGATGGCGGGCCTGTCGGATGAATGCCTGTCAAAGGAGAGAGCATAAGAGAGAGGTTTGTGGTCAGTATAAATATAAAAATATCTGTTCTAAATAAAATTACGGAAATGTATGACGGCTAAATAGATTACAAGACGTTCTACACCAAAAGTGCCAAAGCGAGTCTGTGGTGGTGTCAATTTGGCAGCGTAGATACTGGATGCCCGTGGGTGACTGTTGCTGAAGGGGGGCACTTATGGCGCAATTGCGGGCATCGGCAACAGTGGAGAGCGGGGCATCAGATATAGGGTGAACGAGGACAGTTGCATCCGCAAGAGCCTTTTTGACACGACTGAGAGCGTCTACGGCTGTGTCAGGAAAAGAAAACTCGCGGTTGCTCCCACGTAAGAGGTTAGTACGTGGTAAAATTAATTTAGCGCCATGAGGGATGAAACTTCGATAGAAATTGGCAAGGCCAGTAAAACGACGCAGTTGTTGAGAAAAAATTGAAGAAGGGAACTCGCGAATAGCTGAAACGTTAACATCTATGGGATGACAGCCAAAAGCATCTACGCGATGTCCTAGGAAAATCAGCGACGGTACACCAAAAACGCATTTTGAAACATTAATAAAGACACCAAAATGGCTCAATCGCTCGAAAATGAGGCGTAGATGTATGTGCTCATTGAAACTTACTACCGGAACATCATGGACATAGACAAAAACGAAGAGTTAGTCGCGGAGGACCTAGTTGACTAAACGTTGAAAAGTTTGAGCTGAGTTACGTGGTCTAAAGGGCATCCTGACAAACTGGAAGAGACCAAAAGTTGTTGTAATCGCCGTTTTCGGAATGTATTCTGGAGCAACGGGCATCTGATGGAAAGCTTTGACTAAGTCGGTACTGGAAAACATTGCTGCTCCTGCTAGGCTAGATGACAAGTAATGGAGATGGGATAGTGGATATATGTCAGGCTCAGTGCGTTTGTTCCGTCGTCGGTATTCCCCGCATATGCGCCAGTTATCGAGGCACTGTTACGCACCATATTTACAGGTGCAGCCCATGAACTATTGGAAGCCCTAGCTATGCTTAGCTCCATCATGTGACTGAACTGAGCTTTTGCGATAGCTAAATTATCGGCAGCTAAACGACAATGAACACTAAAACGAGACGGTCCGGTAGTTGAAATATAATGTACGACGGAGTGCTTAATATGTTTGTCAAATTTTGAGGGCCGTGTGATATAATTCAGTATAAATAAATAAATTTTATATTTTAGGCCCGGAGGGCCTCGTCATTGCA